GCGGGGCCCAGCTCAGGCTTGCCAGGCTTCTGGGCAGGGGGCTCACGGCCTGCGCCCACGAGCAGAGGCTGCTGGAGCTCACGAAGACTGGGGCTATCCATGGCTGGGGAAGACTCTGGGACGGGTGTCCTGGGGGGGAGGAAGAAGAGAAGGATAAGTTATACAAGTCTCACCTTCACCCTTCCCCTGACCCACCCCTAGGCCAGTCTCTTGAAAGACTCAAGGCAAAGACTGGTTAGTTCAGTGACCCTCAGGCCCATTTTACAGATAGGAAAACTGAGGCCCAGAGAATGAAGGAGGCTGGCCCAAGTTGGGAAGAGAACTCTGGGCTCTTCTCGCCTCAGGCCAAGACCATGAGGTTCCCCTCACCTCAGGACACTCACCTGTTGCAAGCTTATTTCAAACCATGGCTTGCATACTTTCTTGCTCTATGAATCTCACCCATACATACCCATTTTGGGTTCACACACCCTTTGGGCTCATACATCTCACCCAGACCCATATACCCTTCACACACTCACTCCCCAACCCCATCCCCAAGGACCCCTTGCACTTCACTCTAGTTCACACCCTCCCCTTCCACCCACCCCCCCCAGGTCCCCTAGGCCTGCACATCCTTGTACCTGAGTCCCCGGCCACACATACTCATCCAGGCAACCCCAACCCCCTCCTCCACTCACGCATCCCTCAGAGACTGCTTGCATATCTGCCCCAAATAACATCAGCTCCCAGAAAACACCCCTCCCAGGCCCCCAGTCTTTTCACACATTCATCCCAAATGACTCCTTGTGCACTTCTAACCCCCACAGCATCACACCCCCTCCCCTGCCACACACGTGTGCAGTCTTCCCACACGTCTGTCCCGTGTGCCTCTCACTACTTCCCTTGAACGCTTGCCCCAAGCACTCACGGATTCACACACCCCTCCCACGCCCATGCCCCCACAACTCCCTACACACGCACCAGCTCCCCAAACACTCCTGGTTTACCCCAAAACCTCCTCTGCACACCTCCCCCCATAACACCCCCAACC